AGCCACCACCGAAGAAAAAACTCTACTCAGTTTCGAGAAGGGAAATGGTGAAGCTCTTGATGAAGTTACTACCACTGATGTGACTGTTACCGATGATAGGACATTTCCTGATGAAGTAGATGAACCCCAGGTGAAGCAGAAGCCAACGAGACGGAGACCAGTACGGAATAAGATACGTCCCGTAAAATTAAGAGACTTTGTTGAATTGTAATTTTGTGTTTGTAATTCTGTACAGTTAATTAAGTTATTGTTAATTGTTATTGGTTTATTGTATGTGGTTATTGTTCGGGACGAACAATATTAAGGAGGGGGCAGTGTTGCGTCAGCGAGTCACGTGACCACTGTGGCGCCCTCTAGTTTCTAGAACTATCTTGTTCTTTCGGGAATGCTCTAGTATTTACTAGTAGGGTACGCTGGTATATAAAAGATGGGAATGTAATGTGTAGATAGATAGTGAGTAATTGAACTGCAGTCACACGGTACTGTTGAAGCTAACGTTCGTTCGTTATAGCGTTTGTTTAGCGCGATTGTTGAGTGTATCGCACAGTTATATTCGGAAAGAATAAACCAGTTTTATTAAGTAAAGACTTGTGTCGTTAAAATTTCAGTTGGAACGAAGTTACGGAAAAATCAATTAACAAACGGAGACGTAACAATACCATGTGTATCAAAGCACCAATATAGGACTTGATGATTGGAAACATACCAGGTTGTAGAATTTGGAGGAACTAGACAGAAAGAAGAATGATGTGGCATCATCACTAGAGCTCAAGGGAAGAAGATAACGTAAGGCATCAAGCAAGTACCAAATAGTGACATCCCAAGTGTAGGTTTATGGGAATGGAAGAAAGCTCAGAAGCTTTTATCTCTGCAGAAACTTCGGGATAGTGCCCTAGAGAAAGCCAAGCACAATACAAAATGGAAAGAGACTGACAAAACAGAGTACTAGAAAGGAGTATTGAACTGGACCTATCAAAGCAGTTTTACTGGTGAAGCTAAAACATCAAAAGGAACTAAGAAGTATTTATATAACAAGAAGGTCAAGGATCAACATTTCGAGGTTGGAAAGAGGGTCTTAGTTCTGCTAGTCACAGCCATCAAGAAACTCACCCAGCAGTGGAAAGGATATTTTGCTGTACAGGAAGTGGTCAACAGAATGCACTATAAAGTGAAAGTGGGTGGGATGACCAAGGCTTACCATGCCAATCTGTTGAAGAGGTACAT